ATAATTTATTAAAATTAAATTCACAACAACAATAATTACTTATGTCATTATATAATACTTCAAAGCATAACATCACGTTATGTATACAACTAAGTAAAAGTACAAATATTTGATTTGAGTTGCCCAAGCAATTTCTCACAACGAAAATTTTGGCGAATTACTAAGGCCCGTATTAATAAACGTTACTCAGCTCAAGTACACGCACTTAAGTACAATCTTAAGATTATGATCTTATTAATAAACGTAATATCTCAATATGCGTCTTAGGTTTACGATATCAGCTAAGTGTCACACTGATTAATAAACGAAACTCGCCTCTCAAGTGTATGTACTTGTGATACTAAAATCTGAGTGCGGGCAGTCCGTGACTTGAGATCGTGAATGTTGATATGGAGATAGAAATTAGTTTAAGAGTAAGAGAAATTAATTATTACACAATTTAAAAAATGATACAGATTTGGTCAAAACTCATTAATATATATTGTTACATTAATAAAAGACTCAATGGAGAAATACAGCAACAGAGGTCTTCCGATTTCTCCAGAAATAGCTGCCTCAAATCAATCTTTATGTTTAGATTTTTATTTTACTTGACGTTTCTGAGGTCCGAAGCTGCCATTTGACGCTGTTTACGTCGAACAATCCTCAAGAGTACTTGTTTGTCACTGTTCTTTTTTTTTTAAAGTCCCGCTGGGTTTCTTGCTGGTTCTTTCCAGGACAATGGTATTTCGGAACCAGTGGTAAATTAAACATAAGAGTTACTTTTAATAAGTATAATTAATAATATATATTAAAAAAGTTTCTATTTCTACCATAACTGCGACGGTGGCCTTTAGGTAAAGGTAGCCTTTAGTCCATACACGCTCTTTCTCAATGAGAGAATGGAACTGGAGTCCTTCACCCTTCTCAGAAGGCCTTTCAACAACTGTAGCTCATTGTTTGAAGTTAGCTGCAGGTGTACATACAGCTTCCCAGAATGAATTTCCGCCTTGTCGTGGCGGGAGGGCGTAGTAGCCATGGTTTAGCACCCCGCGGTGAACAAAGTGGAACCCCTTGGCTGGCCCGTGGTGGCCACTCCGAGTGGACTTGGCAAGCCCACTTCGGATGTGTGTCGGTGGGCTGCAGTGAAAGGGATGTACTCTCCCCCTACCGCTGCAAACAAGGTGGAGTCGCGGAGGAAGAGGAGTGTTGGTATGGCGATGCGCCACTCGCCCTATCCTCTGCGACTCTGACGGGGTCGCACCGTTGATGCGGTGGTGGCGGGGCCGCGGGTGGATAGGAGTGTCGGTATTGCGAGGCGAAATTACTAATACTCGTAAAATATCTTACTTATTCTAAACATATAAATAAAATTGAGTATGTCTGTCTGGAATATCGAAATAAATGTCGATCGAGCTCGGTGGATTATTTGCATGCTATTAAGACATAAGCAAACATTTTTTAACTATCTGTTTGTCTGTCTATTCAGTCTAATCTTCGGAATGGCTGAACTTATTTACCGAAATAATTTATCCGAAAATCTTGTTTTTTTTAAATTATGATCTATGATTATTTTGAATCTAAATAACGCTGACATCGCACTGTCACAACGGTCACTAGTATAACAAAATAAAACTAATATAAAGAAGTTATTGACAATACCATCTGTATCTCAAAAATGTAGAAAAAAATTTCAAGTTCATGCTAGCAGCCATGTTAAATGAAATAAAAAAGTGAATTATTAAGAGTTTTAATTAATTTCCGACACAGATCTCAATATTTTTCTATATCTTTCCTTTTTACTTCCATAAAATTAATCCTTTGTATTAAAAATATTTTAAATATTGGGTGACCACATAATATAATAACTATACTTATTTAATAACTGAAACACTCTTAGTTAACATCAACAAACAACAAAGGTTTTTATAATTTGCTAAATATATGGGATTAGGCAGACAGAAAGACAGACATAGACATTTTTATATCTGTTTTGCTGAATTGGGCACAGAACACTCATTTATTACATACAAATATAATCTGTAAAATACTTGACATATTATTTAAATTGTTTACAATACAATAAAATCTTTAACTTGTAAAAATATACTTTCTTATATATAAAATTTTAAATAATTTGACACAGAAAAATAGACTTTACGTTGTTAAGCACTACGCTCAATTTCTTTTGAACGGGCTAAAAAGTGGCAAAGTTCGTCACAATCTTCCCTTGCGAGTTTCCAAGTAGCAGCAGATTTCTAATTACTATTGAAAATAATAAAAAAAATTGCGGTTGCCAAACCGCATGCCAAGAGTGGTAGCAAAATAGCAAAATCCTCTCTATTTATTTTTTATTCAGCTTATTATTGATATCGATCAATAATAAACTGAATAAAAAATACATAAATGGAAATGTTCTTATTTTTACTTTCTGAACCGAGCAGATTTCTGTATGATCACTGATCAGCTGAAGATCAGCTGATCAGCTTTTTTTAAGAAATATAAAAAAAAGAAACAAAAAGAATCTTGATAAACAAATTTCATTGGGACCAACGGATATCGAGCTGGAGTTTCGAGTAGGTGTAGAAACTAAAAATTATTTTTATATTTAATTCGCGTACATCGCAAATTGAAATACATATTCATTGTTAAAGGAGAGGAATGAAACTTATACATATCTCTCCCAATTTGTCTTTCGGAAGGTGCCAAAAATGTGCATAAAAAATAGTGTGTAAAAATATAATTAGCATACACATATGATTAATCAAGCCTGGGCTGCGGCTTCGGCGACTCGGGATGTAAATACCAGCACACTTAAAAAGAAGTATAACTTCGCCTCCAGGTCCTTCAAAAGAGTTATTTATTTAGTTTTAGTTAGAATTGGCGAGAAACTAGTTCGCCTTCCTTCGGGAACCCGTGCATTCTGGTCTCTCGCCAAGGCAGTCCAAGGGAATTTCTGTAAGCCATCACTACCATCTCTGCACAGGGAGGATGACTCACTGGCCCATGACGAAAAAGACAAAGCCGACCTTTTAGGCTCCCTTTTTGCGTCCAACTCGACTCTTGATGACGGGGAGAAAACACCGCCGACCATCCCGCGGTGTGAGTGCTCCATGCCGGATGTGCTGTTCTCACAGCGCTCGGTTCGCAAAGCACTGCTCTCCCTGGACATCCAGAAGTCGAGTGGGCCTGACGGAATCCCCCCAATTGTGCTGAGGACGTGTGCTCCGGAGTTGGCACCGGTCCTAACGCGTCTTTTCCGGTACTCCTACTCCCAAGGCGTAGTCCCGAATTCATGGAAGACAGCTTTTGTCCACCCGATCCCTAAAAAAGGCGACCGCTCAGACCCATCCAACTATAGGCCTATCGCGATCACCTCCTTGTTCTCCAAAATAATGGAATCCATTATTAACTGCCAGCTCATCCGGCACCTTGAGGATCACCAGCTGATTAGTGACCGCCAATACGGTTTTCGTCGGGGTCGATTAGCTGGTGATCTTCTGGTCTACCTGACCCATAGATGGGCGGAGGGAGTAGAGTCCAAGGGGGAGGCGTTAGCCGTTAGTCTGGACATTGCGAAGGCCTTCGATCGGGTTTGGCACAAAGCGCTTCTTTCGAAGCTCCCTTCCTATGGGCTTCCCGAGAAATTGTGCAATTGCATCACCAACTTCCTTGCAGATCGGAGCATCAAGGTCGTTGTAGACGGTGCATGCTCTGACTACAAGCCTATTAACGCTGGTGTTCCACAAGGCTGTGTGCTATCACCAACGCTGTTTCTTCTGCATATCAATGATATGTTGCTAACTGGTAACATTCATTGCTATGCGGATGACAGCACTGGTGATGCTCTATACACCGGCCGTGCCAATATTTCTCGGGAAAACGTCGCTGAGTACCGGAACAAACTTGTGTCTGAAGTCGAGTCTTTGCTGAACAAAGTTTCGGATTGGGGGCGACTAAATCTAGTCCAATTTAATCCTCAGAAGACACAAGTTTGCGCGTTTACCGCTAAAAATAACCCCTTTGTCGTATCTCCTCAGTTTCAAGGCACTCCCCTTCTTGCCTCAGCCAGTATCGGTATCCTCGGAGTCGACATATCGAGTGACGTGCAGTTTCGTGGTCACTTGGAAGGGAAGGCCAAATTGGCCTCTAAAAAGCTTGGCGTGCTCAGCAGAGCGGGACAGTATTTCATGCCGGCACACCGCCTGCTACTTTACAAGGCGCAAGTTCGGCCTCACATGGAATACTGTTCCCATCTCTGGGCAGGGGCTCCACAGTGCCAGCTCCTTCCACTTGACCGCATCCAACGCAGAGCGGCTCGAATTGTCGAAGACCGAGCCCTTTCCGATCGGCTCGATTCATTGGCACTGCGAAGAGATGTTGCATCCCTTTGCATTTTCTTTCGCATCTACCATGGGGAGTGCTCTGAGGAATTGTTCGGATTAATCCCAGCCGCCAAATTTCACGAACGCACATCGCGGCAGAACTCCCGATACCATCCACACCATCTGGATGATTGGCGGTCCACCATGTTTTCTTCCTCGCACGACCTTCTTGTGGAATCGATTACCAACAGCGATTTTTCCGGACCGATACGACTTAGGGACCTTCAAAAAAAAAGCGCACTCCTTTTTAAAAGGCCGGCAACGCATCTGCGATTCCCCTGGTGTTGCAGTTGTTCATGGGCGGCGGTAGTCACTTACCATCAGGTGAGCCGCATGCTCGTTTGCCCCCTCTCCTATAAAAAAAATTATTCCATACAAAACGCTGTAGCCAATAAAATGAAAGTATTTTCATGACTGTATGATCTAAGATACCTTTGCCTTCACTGAGAAAATATTATATATTATAATAAAATATTTATATAGTATGACGATTAGAGTGCAGCAGCGGGTTTTTACGAGCTGATGATGAAGAAGTAGAATCTAAATATATATATTTTAATTTAGGCGCTGATGTAATGATATGATAAGTGGAAGATGAAAAATGATTTCATTTGAACGTCTTGCATGTGGAACGTCTTATATCTGGTACTCTGTGTAATTCCAGTTCCAAGTTTTGTTCACGCGGTTGTCACTAATCGCTGGGTTCATCTGCTTGAGCGGCTCCTATAAACAGACATGTGACTTCATAAATAAATGTTATCCCCACACTAAGAATTTATAATTTATGGTGATTTACTGGTGGTAAATTTCGTTTTTGTCTACGGGTCCTAGTATATGTAATATATAATAAATTTGGGTGCTATAATAAAGCCTTTTTGATGTATGTTCTTATGCATGTTATGCCTATAATTTGCACTTTGAAGCGCTATATACACGAAAATTTGGCGGCTAAAATTTTATCAAGAAATTGTCACAAACAATGGGGTGAACCCCATTATAATGGATTTCCGCAAAGTAACGCCTGATTCTATTAATTAATTGTCACAAAACTTCTTGTAATAATTCTCTTGATCTATCTAATCTAATTATTTAAGAGCACTTTTACATTTCACATCAAAAAGCTAAGAAGAAGCAGATCAAGTAACATACCTGATACTCCCGTTTGCCAATCTCAACATTTGGATCCCTTTCACACACCTGGGGAACCAGGTTGAGAGGTTCATATTCGTCAGACACCCCACTGTCGGGCGAGTCCGGGATATGAACAGAATTTATATAGCCCTTTGGTTCCACTCGGCTTTTGTGTACGCAGTAGTCACCAGTAAAAGGATTCTGATATGCCACCACAGTCCTACAAAAATCAATGAGTAAATAAAAGAGTAACGGCTATCACACCATGACGTATGGTGGCGTTAGAGAAACCGTCATCCCGTTTCGTCTCACGGGCGTCGTTATAGGCAAATATTTTTTTATAGGATAAGGGTGACAAACGAGCACACAGTCCACCTGACGGTAAGTGGCTGCTGTGGCCCATAGACATCTACATCTATCCTCGATTACGAATCAAAATGCAGAAGCGTTGCCACCCGCGAGGACTAAGAAGGAATGCCTCGTTTGCAGTAAAAAGGGTCTCCGGTTCTTTACACTCACCATACTAAACACAGCAGTGTTAAGCTGCTATTTTACGCTGGTAGTCAGTGAGAGCGTGGTCCTTCCCCAGCTGAGCCGACCCATTCGTGCTACAGTTATATTACTTATATAGCTGCTGCATGACTCTACTACGTAAAAGAATGAGAAATTTCGGAGAAATCTTTTGTCTTACGATAGACGGTGGTATAACGATCTCATGTTCTCCTGACAATAAGTATCCAGACGGCTGATTAAAAACTTGAAGATCACCAATTTGTGTTTTGCACTGATATTATAGCTCCGGCGACTTCTTGACTACCTCGTTCGTTGCTGATCATAAGGTCCCACGTTCGAATCTCGGGTCGTGCCGAAACACAGTTATTGATTTCTTCTGACTAGAAATTCGTAGTATCAGGTCGGAGTCAAAAAAAAGGCAGTTTTTCACCCCCCTGCCTCCTAAAGTACGTAAAGCCGTTGATCCTGCGCCTGATCTCTCTCTGGTCGTATCGAATCACCGTCTCATCGGGTTGTGAGAGTGATGGAGTAGAGATGACTACGCTTGCACATACACTTGGGTACTATAATTCCGTCCTACTTAGATGGCTAGTCTCCGTTGGGACTGGCCGCCGTGATCCAAATTCGGTCTGTAGGATATTATTACAGCTCAGGCAAGGATTTGATTCCTGATCCACCGCGTTATTCCTTATTAGCCCGCAAAAGTTCACTTGTAGGCATACTAGTAGGGTCGTCAAGTAATGTTTAAAAGGTGTTTATAAGGAGTCGTGTTGCTCTTACTAGAACTTTAATTTGACTATTCTCTTATGCTACCCTTAAAACTATGTATATTTTCGTGAGGGTTACACTACATTACATATTATAAATCGGCCTATTCCGTTCAGAGGTTTTGTATTATAGCTTTGAATTGCAGTTTGATTGACGATCGAACTACCAGACATCTCGCACCTTTAACGCTACTCCCCATTACGGATCTAGAAGATTTATCTCGAGCATAAACTAGATGGTTAATCCAATGTCTAGCGAAAACCATGAGTCGAGCCAACTTTCTCGGGTTCCATATTGTCGCCTCTTTTTTTCGGCGACAGCATAAGCTGAATGTCGTCAACATATTTTATATTTAATTTTTGAACATACATATGGCATTCCTTGGAAGAGGTCTATGTTTAGCAGTGCACCTGTAAATGACTGTAATAATGATAAAAATATAAATAATTTTTCTGTATATATGATCAAGTTGTAGTATTTTTTTTAAATTTGATTTTTATATTGATTGATATGTTTTTAAACGTAAGTGCCTAAATATGTGTGTGGCTTGTACTCAATAATTTTTCTATTCTTTTCAACGTGGCGGAAATACCCGCGGTACCTAGGCACTGCGTCCAAAGCACTTAGTGACCAGATAAATTGTATATAAACCAAGAAACATAAACTGTATAAGTAATTAATCATGATTTTCATCATTATTACAGCCTATCACAGTCCACTGCTGAATATTAGCCTTACTAAAGATTGCGTCATGTGGGGGGGGGGGAGATACTTGCCATAGTTACCTCACTTGGCAGGCGGGTTCGTTTTTTTATTTTTATAGAATAGGGTGACAAACGAGCACACAGTCCACCTGATGGTAAGTGGTTGCTGTGACCCATAGACATTTACCCTCGTATGCAAATCAAAATGCAGATGCGTTGTCACACGTAAGGACTAAGATGGTATGCCTCTTTTCCAGTAAATAGGGTCTCCGGTTCTCTACCCTCAACATACGAAACACAGCAGCATTAAGCTGCTATTTTAAAAATAGTTTGACTGGCCTGTTGGTCTAGTGGTTAGTGATCCTGACTGCTACGCCGGAGGTCGTGGGTTCGATTCCCACCCAGGACAAATGTTTGTGTGATGAGCACGATCATTTGTTCTGTGTCTGGGTGTAATTTATCTATAATATTTATGTATTTAGAAATATATAAGTATGTTTATCAGTTGTCTAGTACCCATAACACAAGCTCTGCTTAGCTTGGGACTAGATGGCGTTGTTTGATAGTTGTGGAATATTATTGTGGAATATTATTAATAGTGTTTTTGACACCAGGTAATTGTGTAGCATTTGTCAGTTACTGGCCGGCAACATTACGGTCGTCGGAATCTAGCGGAACAGGGGGTTCGATTAGAACGTTGCTGGGCCTTTGTAGGGTTTACACAACGTTTGGAGTCGGTTGGGATGTGTCTCGGCGCTATTTCGATATCCTTGAAATATTCAGAGATCGTCGGAAGTTGACAGTCTCTCTGTAATTCGGAGTTTTGCTGGTACCACCGAGTTCCGATGTCTATGTGAATAAATCTATTTTGGACGACTTAAAGGTCGTACAAATGACTATGGTTTGCGTGCGTGAAAACTACACTTTCGTAAGACATTATAGGTCTTACGCACGCTTTGTAAAGATGGAGCTTGTGTCTTAAGGACAGTTTCATCTTGTTGTTAACTAGCGGGTGGGGCGACTAGTGATGGATTTTTCACGGTTGCGGACATTGCGAATGTCATACCATGGTCGAATGTGATCCCTAGATATTTGGCCGTTGGTTGCCAGATCTGCTGGCCGTACAGGGTGATCGTAAGAGGGGAGTCTTTGAATGTATATTGCTACACTTTTCTCAAGATTAACTTCGATTTTCCATAAGCGGAACCAATCGCCTAAGCGATTGATGGTTGTTTGCAGCATTTCTGTGAGGATTCTTCTATTATGATGGGCGACGAAAAGTACCGTTTAATTGGCAAAAAAGGCAGTATTCACTACTGGATCTTTCATGATGTCACTCATGAAGAGTTTACAGTCTTTACAGAGAAGAGGGGTGAGGATGAAGCACTGTTTCACCTCGTTTTGGAGGTTGCGCAGTCGAAATTTGTTGTCTATAGTACGATAGTGATCTTACTATCTTAGGACCGCGTCCTTTTCTCTGATTAGCTGAACATCACTCGGAAGCTTGCAGTATCAATTACTCAACACATAAACCTTACGAGAGCATTCTTTAACTGTAGAGGTGAGGTGGGCCGATTGCGCGCTAATCGCCTCATTAGCCTCCTCGGGCGAAGTTTAGCCGCTAAGCGTGATCGAACAATGTGTTACTATTGGGATTGCTTTTAAGCGAGTTTCAGGAGGAATGCTTACTGTTGAGGTCTGCAGCTATTAAGATACTGGAGCCTAGACTAAATAATTCTGCAATGTCCTATTCGATTATTATAATACGAAGGAGGATGAGCCTTGTGGGACGGGCTTCGATTTAAGGGCCTGGGGAGGCGGCAGTGGCCGTGAGGCGACAAGTGCCGGTGGTTTCATCCAAGCGTTGGGTTTTGGCGCGGAAGGCGCGGGAGTGTTAGCACCTTGCGACTGGGGCTGGCTTGGTGGCAATTTGAGGCAAGGAAGTGGGCACCGTGAATGGTGTAAGTTTGGGGGCAGGTAGCCGAGAGCGAGACACACTGGCTATGCACTGACCTACGCATCCGGGACGGCTTCTACCTCCACGCTGCTTTCTTCGCGGCGGTTTAGAACACCTGTGATAATTCGCTGGATGTCCCTCTTCGCGGTAATTGACGCAGCTCGGGGGTTCAACCGTCTTGTGCATGCGGGGGCAGTCACTGGTGCCATGGTCACCAGGGCACTTGACGCACCTAGGCCTGGCGTATCATTTTTTGGCCGAGTGGCCGCACAATTGGAATCGGTGGCACTGGCACTGGGCACTGGCGCCGAACGTTAAAATTCTTCTTGCCTTCAGGAGACAAGTCTAAAATGACAAGATAAAGATCAAAGAAACGCTTTTTGTCAGTCTGATGGTGCATTCTATGCACTTCTCGGACCTAGAGTTTTCGGGCTTTGAGGTCGTTTAATTTGTGCTAAGTCTCAAGCTCTTTGGAAAATCGCGGTCGACCACACGAAGGTTACGCTCCTCTGGGAGGGCGTATGTGTGGAAGTTTATTTGCTGGGTGCGCAGGTGGTTTGTTACACTGCGGAATTCCTCGGTCGAGTTTACAAACATACGAATGAATTTACAAACCCTGACTGGCATTTTGTACCTTTGCGCAATAGATTTTTTTGGAGTTCAACTAGTATGAAAGGTTGCTCCATTTTGTTTTGTCTTGGATTATGATGGGAGGCGGAGTCTTTACCCTAGGTTCAGCAGGGGACCCATTAGCTGCGGGTTGGCCGCAGGCTTGGGGGCTTGAGCTCGTGTCGCGGGGGCTGGTTTTTGTATTAGAGTGGCAGTAGGAGACGAGGGGGCCCAGTTAGGCTCGGCTACATTTTTTGAGGCAGCGCGTTTAGGCTCTTTGCCCTGTACGAGGGTAAAGCCTTTGTCTTCGTGCTTGAGGGGGACGCGCATGTTGGTGTTCATGTCGGAACCTGATTCATCATGCAAGAAGACCGGAGACGGGCCGCGGGTGGACATCGTAGAAGGCGCGGGGGATGCGGCGTCGTAAATTGTGTCTATGGACACGGGGATTGTAGGTCCGGTGGTGGGCGACAGGGAGTCGTTAATCCACACAGTCAGACGGTGATTAGGAGGCCAGACACGCTGGGTAGACGGGCCGGCTTGAGGCGCGGACTCGAGCATGGGCTCGAGCGCGGGATGGGCATTGAGCTGTGCGAGGAACACAACCCTAATATCGGGGCAGACTTGACTAGAAAATTCATCGAGTTCGTCGATTGTTATCGACGCCATTTTGTTGTACTACTAGACAGCACAGGTGTGTACCAAGCTTCTCTACCTTTCGGCGGGGTAGGTGTGTGCCTAAAACAAACACCTAGCGCGTTGGTACGCTAAGATGTATGCCTAGCTGCTGCCTAATTCAACAAGCAAGACAAAAATTAAAAAGGATGGCTGCCTCTGAGGTGGCGGGTGTGTTTCACTCTACTTACAGTTGCCGATACCAGTACCAGGAAGCCAGGAAGGAGAGTTATGTACAAACACTCTTTGCACCACAACAAGCGTCTGATAAATTTCGCAACAACACAGTGAGACTGCCGTCACCCGGGACAGCGTGCTTCGCGCGTCACAGTGAGAACATCAAGTCAGCAACCGAACACAGAGCTCCAAGTAAAAAAACAAAGCAGTGGTATAACAATTGTTAATACTTCTTTCTCTTCGTATATACCGTTTAATAATAATTCATAAATATTTCTGTTATTTCCATAGCATAATGTGTTATTGGATTTTGC